GGCTCAAGTAAGTCTCCTGCCTCCACCTCCCAAGTAGCTGGGACTACAGGCACCCACCATAATACCTGGCTATATTTTGGTTGCAGCCATCATTGTTGTTTGGTGGCCCGAGCTGGATTCGAACCTGCCAGCTCAGGTGTATGTGGCTGGCACCTTAGCCACTTGAGCCACAGGCACTGAGCCAACTTCACATCTTTTATGTTTACCTGGATGGAGCTGGAACATATTCTTCTTAGTAAAGTATCTCAAAAATGGAAAAAAAGGTATCCAATATACTCAATACTATTATGAAATCAATATATAATCACCTACACACTCATATGAATGGCAAAACATAACTATAGTACAGAAAGTAGAAGGGAAGAAGAGAGGGAGGGGAGGGAGAGTATGGGAGGGGGGAGGATATTTGGGGGAACCTCACCTAATGTGCATGATGCAACAGTATGTTTCAAAACCTATTAAGAAATTAATATAATTGTGATGGATGTGTTACTTAGTTCAACATAAGCATTTCACATTGTATATTGAAGCAGTACTCTGAATCCCATAAATGCATCACTGTACAAAGTTATGGTTTAATAAAAAAATAAATAAATAAATTTGGTGTGTGAGATGAGTAGCTCAATCACCTCCCACCTGCCTCTGCTCCTAGGCATGGAGAGTCCGCACAGAGAGTCTCCCCAGATATATGCAGAGCACCTACCTCATTTGTTAGGTGAGCCAAAAGAGCCCACAAGGGGCAGGGGCTGGCCTGTTTGGGCCTTGTGGGGCTGGTGCTCTTTGCACTATAATAGTAAGAGCTGCAGACACCCCAGACTTTCTCTGGAACAGAATGGCTGCCTTTCAAAGTACATCCTGGATGAGAAAAGACCATTGGATCAAGGGTGATTTTATTGTATAAAGATGCACAAGGTTCTGTGGTAGTTACAAATGTGCAGACCTAAAGGCAATCCCTGGCTTCTGAGGCCCACATTAATCAGACAGAGGTACGAGGAGGGCCCTGGGCCCCAGTGCATCTGGGAAGGTCATGCTTGGAACACCTTAATTGTTTGGTCCTCCATCCTGCATCATCTACCTTGGATCTCCAATGGTTTCCCAAAGAGGCAGCCACTGTCAGAAGTATTAGGAGATAAAGTGGCATTCCTCCTTGCCATAACCTGGCTACTAGGACACCCCTCAACTGTATCATCTGCTTCTGTCCCACCTGCCACAAATCCCCTATCTTTAACAACCCTGGACTCCATGGAAGGAAGACAAGACCTCATTCTTGAGCCCTGGAAGATCTTTGCTTCCATCTATCTCACCCTCCACAAGAGTGCTAGTCTTCCCCCATCACTCTTACTTCCTTTCCTGAGGAGCCCTTCGTAGGCCCAGGCCCAAAGTAGCAACCACAGAGTTTTGTGAGCCTCCCCAGCTTGCTCAGGGTGGATTATTACCTAGGCCATAAGGGTTAAGTCAACTTTCTTCAAAATGTTTTCATCCCTGGGGGAAAGAAGAAGTGGCTGAAGGGTCTTATAAATTGGGTGTCTGTAATCCTAGCACCCTGGGGGGCTCAAGCAATCCTTTGCTGAGGCCAGCGGATTGCTTGAGCTCAGGAGTTCAAGACCAGCCTGAGCAAGAGAGAGACTCCATCTCTACTAAAAAATGGAAAAACTAGCTGACCATGATGGCAGGTGCCTATAGGCCCGGCTGTTTAGGAGGCTGAGGGAAGAGGATCTCTCAAGCCTAAGAATTTGAGATTGCTGTGAGCTATGATGCAATGGCACTCTACCCAGGAAAAGAAAGTGAGATTCTGTCTCAAAAAAGAAAAAAAAAAGAAATGAAAATACAAAAAGAAAGAAAGGAATAACAGGAGGGAATTGTTCACGAACAGAGGTGTTCAAGCCCAGAAGGCCCTAAAGTGGGCCTCACAGGGTCCTGACCCATGAATTGATCTGCTGGGGCCCAAAACCCATCCTGGGATTTTCATTTTTTTAATTTTATTTTTGTAGAGGTGGAGCCTTGTTATGTTGTCCAGGCTGGTCTCAAACTATTAGGCTCAAACCATCCTCCCAAGTTAGACTCCCAAGTCTCTGGGATTAACAGGAATGAGCCACCCATACCATTTGTGGCCCAGTAACAAGTTACTTCATCATAATTTTTTTTTTTTTTTGAGGCAGTCTCACTTTATGGCCCTCAGTAGAGTGCTGTGGTGTCACACAGCTCACAGCAACCTCTAACTCCTAGGCCCAGGCAATTCTCTTGCCTCAGCCACCTGAGCAGCTGGGACTACAGGCACCTATCACAACGCTTGGCTATTGAACCCGCCACCCTCGGTATATGGGGCTTGCGCCCTACCCACTGAGCCATAGGTGCCGCCTATGGCTCAGTTACTTTAAATAACAAGCATTTTATTTATGGAAGGAACCACTCCTTCCAGCGTCCCCTTGTGCAGTACTTCCTGTCCCTGAAGACCCCACTGAGGGCAGTCACAGCAAGCTGATAGAGAGCTGTGGCTCCATTAGAAAGTGTTCCCTGGGGCAGCCCTGTAGCTCAGTAATTAGGGCACCGGCCACATACACTGAAGCTGGTGGATTTGAACCTGGCCTGGGCCAGCTAAAGCAATAATGACAACTACAACAAAAAATAGCTGGGCATTGTGGTGGGTGTCTATAGTCCCAGCTACTTGGGAGGCTGAGGCAAGAGAATCACTTAAGCCCAAGAGTTTGAGGTTGCTGTGGCGTCACAGCTCACAGGGCACTCCTAGGGCAACAAAGTTTGTCTCAAAAAAAAAAAAAATCAATCTTTCCTATTTCCTATTATTCATATTACTCTCTCTTTTTTTTTTTTTTTTCATACAGAACCTCAAGCTGTCCCCCTGGGTAGAATGCCATGGCATCACAGCTCACAGCAACCTCCAAGTCCTGGGCTCAAGCAAGTCTCCTGCCTCAGCCTCCCAGGTAGCTAGGACCACAGGTGCCCACCACAACGCCTGGCTATTTTTTGGTTGCAGCTGTCATTGTTGTTTGGCAGGCCTGAGCTGGATTCGAAACTGCCACCTTAGGTGTATGTGGCTGGCGCCTTAGCCACTTGAGCCACAGATGCTGAGCCCATATTATTCTCAAATATGCCATGTTCATTTCCATCCTGGCATAATAATTACATTCTTTGCTTGCTTCTTTGTACCTCTCACCAGAATGTAAGCTCTGTGAGGACAAACATTCTGTGTTGTTCATTGCTGTATCTTCCAGAGGGTAGCATAGTCCCTGCTATTCAGTAGATGCTAAAAAAATTAGTGAGGGAAGAGATGGGTGGATGAATAAAAAAAGCTCAAATTTAATGATGGAGATAAAAAAAAAGGCAGAGGAGGTCAGTCTGAGGCTAGATGCTCACTCTGCTCCTAGTTTACAGTTTAGGCATCTTGGACAAGTCCAGAAGTTATTCCCTGCCAGGAGGCCCAAGCCCAGACTGTCTATATCTCATTAGGGTTGTCCTGGTCAGCATAGATAAGGAAGCCAGTGAAGAGGCTGTCAGTCCAGTAAGGGTCATAGAAGAGCCCATTCTGCTCAGAGTAGAAGATCTGTAGCCAGACCTCGTCACCCTGTTTGAGAGCCAGGATGGTGGAGCCCGAGGCCACATCATGGTTGCCAGTGTTGGCGTCGAAGGTCCGGATGCGGTACTGGCCGTTGTGCACCAGGCCAATAGCCAGGTGCTTGTTGGCCAACGTAATGTCATAGGTGAAATAGTAGATCCCTGGCACACTGCAGACAAACTTGCCGCTGGAGGCATTGTAATGGCCACCCTCATTCATCAGGATCTTGTCAAACTTGATGGGCAGCCGCTCCCGCGGGTAGCTTTTGGTAACTGCCACCGAGAAGGCCGACTTGGCACGGCCACTGCCACAGCTACAGGGGCCTGGGAGGCCTGGCTCCCCCTTCTTGCCCTTGGGCCCCTTCTTACCTGGCGTGCCATGCTTTCCAGGGGTACCACTGACCCCCTTGGGGCCGCGAGGGCCAGCCCGCCCAATGGCCCCGGCTTTGCCCTTTGGTCCTGGCTTTCCCCGGTTACCTGTCCGGCCAGGTGGACCTAGAAAACAGAGCAGCTGGTGTTATGGAGGTGCCACCACAGGCCTAGGCAGAGGCCTTGACTTTCCATCCTTGGAGCAGAAGCTGGTGGGTAATGGAAAAACCAAGAAGGCTTTGGAGACACATAGAAATGAGCATAAGTCCTGATTGTGTAACTGGGACACTTCTCCCAGCCTTATCTGTAAAATGAGAATGATGATACTTACCTTCTGGAGTCATTGTGCAGTAGGGCACAGAAAAAAACACAACAAATTCTCAACCTTTGCCTTTTCCTGCCTCCTAAGGAAGAGTGTGGCTTATGTGCCAGATCAGTCTTTCTATGGGCTATGCCAATAATGGATTGAGAAAAGAATTGGAAGAAGACCCTTGATTCCAAAACATTGATATTAATAAAATCCCTGTTTTGTGCTCAAGAGCCCTGCACACCTGTACAAGGGCTTTATTGCAGCACTACTTATAATAGCAAAAAATCGAATGAATGAGTACCCATCCAAAGAGAAATGACTAAAAAATTATAGTCCATCCATACTGTGGAATTCTACATTAGAGTTAAGAAAATGAAAATGACATGAAACCTCTAAAATACAGTTAAGAAGAAAGAACATGTGGCTGAACCTTTTATGTTAACAGGAATCCACAATGCTTCTATCTCTTTCTCTCTCTCTCCTTCCTTCCTTCCCTTCCTCCTTCTCTTCCCTTCCTTTCTTCCTTCCTTCATTCCTTCAATTCTAAGTTTGTCACCCTCAGCAGAGTGCTATGGCATCATCATAGCTCACAACAACGTCTAACTCTTAGGCTCAACTCTTGCCTCAGCCTCCCAAGTAACTGGGACTATAAGCATGCACCACAATTCCAACTAGTTTTTTTTTTTTTAGTAGAAACAGGGACTCTCTTGTTCTTGCTCAGGCTGGTCTTGAATTCCTGAGCTCAAGCTATCCACCTGCTTCAACCTCCTAAAGTGCTAGAATTTTAGGTGAGAGCCAATGCACCTGCCTGGCCTTTGCTAACTATTTCTATGCTCATTGAAGGGTACAGAAGAGTGCCTGGCCTATCATAAATACCCACTAAATACTAGTTGATATAATCTTCCAGAACATTTCCCCCAATAATGTTTTCTTATAGATTGCCTTTGGTTTTTAATACTCATATTTCATAAAATGTACATTTCTCTCAATACAACATTTTTGGCCACTGATTATATAGAAAAAGTTTAATTTATGTACCTTCAAATCAATACAACATTTTAAAACATAATATGGATCAAGATTTGAATTGACTGGACACAATGCAACTTTATTAGAACCATCCATATAAATCGGGTGATCAAGAAAGAATTGCTTTAGGTATTTTAATTAATTAATTAATTAATTTTTTTGCAGTTTTTGGCCACGGCTGGGTTTGAACCCACAACCTCTGGCATATGGGGCCAGCGCCCTACTCCTTTGAGCCACAGGCACTGCCCTTGCTTTAGGTATTTTACATTCTAATACATGTGTGTTTTAAAACTTTGAGTTAAACTGTAATGCATTTAAATTTTTTCTATTTTACATAATTGAGAATAGGTTTCCAAATCACATTTTCTTTTCTTTTCTTTTTTTTTTTTTTT